CAAAAGCAGTAACAAAGTAATACTAAAAGTTGTTAATCTGCCTAGAAAGTAACTAAAACTGGGCGGGTTAGAGGAAGAGAGAATCTCCACTCCCTCGACCTCCTATAACCAACAGAACTCTCTTACAGAATTTGAGCTCTCGAAAAATGAACAAAATATAAGCAAGAAGTATATCACATATGATATGATATATTTTAAAAATAAAATATGACCTTATTTATAGATTTTGCAACTGTTGGGTAGTTAGACAGTTAGTTGGTTGATCGGTTGGAACTGCCTTAAATCCAAGCTTACTCGCTCGCTTGTGAGACTGCATTAGCTGGGCACAGATCTTCCTCGTTCACCTTACTAGACTTGGTTTGGCTGGAGGGCATCGGCACAACTCAAGCGAGGCTATCGTCGCTGGCCGGTAATGGCTGACCACTGGGAGATCAACACTTAAATACTTATGGAAACTTATGGATCTCCGCTCATCAGCGGTGGATGTCTGGTTGGCTGGCTTAAGGGCAAGTGGAAAGAGTATCGCTCGCCACAGCTGACTGCACCCTCGCTCGCCTATTCACATTTAGGCATTTCTGAGCCAGAACATCACTTAGAAATACTAAAAATATCAATAATCTTCACAAACAGGCTTTGGATCATATCAAGCGAAACATATTAATAAAGTATGCCATAAATTAGATTTTGTGATGATCTTTCACATAAAAATGCCCTCTAATTTCAATTGGTATTCTTTTGAGATTCTGGAGCCGACACACAAACTCTATTTCAATCTAATCATCCTTCCCAGTGGCTACTGATCTTGAAAATGAACATCCCCGTAACCCCTGGTTCAAAAAGAGGTATAGACCAAGGAGGGTAGTCAATCTCGGTGTCTTTGCCAATGACAAGTGTCTCCGGTGGTTCAAATACTTCCGATTTCTTTTGCCAAACAACTTTCATCTTAGGTTCACAAATAAGACAAAGGTTATCTCCGCCGATTGTATCCGGCGGCTTCTACTTCACTAAGACAGCTTTGAACAAGGCCGATCTTTCTGGATAGCTTTCGAGACTTTTGACTCAGGCCCATGTGTTGAATGGCCCATGACAATCATGCCTTAAGGGGAGCTTATCTACACTCAATATATATTATGTTATGTGTAAATATGTTCTCTTGTGTTAAGTTTTATGTTTTGTTATGTTCATTTTTTTTACTTAGTTAAACATAGAGTTGTTATTTGTCTTTTATTTTTTCCTCTAAAGTGTCTACACGTTTTCTTTGTAATTATATTTATATCCTTTTTTTTGCTACTGTTCATCTTCAATGAGAGTCAATTCACCTAGTTTAGCTTTGATTTTGCTTCTTTTCTCTCTCTTGTTTTGTTTGTTACATAGCTATAGATGAAATGAATGTTGTTTGCATATTGGATCTTTATGAAAGTTGGAGCATAATTAGAAGTTTTGCAACATGAAATCTATATGACGTATAGTAGGTAATATGAGTATGCTTCAATGCAAAAAAGATTTAGAGAATTATCTATGTTTGGAGATTTATGTGTTAGAAGTAATTTGTACAATTAGTTGATGACGATTATATTGTTTATTTTTTTTTCCTTGTATTTTTGTTTTATGATATTTTTTCTTGGGCTTCTTTTTTCCATCAACTATGAACTGAGATAAAAACATATCACTATCATGATCATTATGCCGACTTTGACTTATACATTCACTTTCATCAATAGCCTTATCCAACAAATTCAAATCACCATCATAAATAAATGTAGATTTATCTTTTGTGACCCATTCCTCAAAAATATCATTTTTATTGAAAAATATGATTCAAATCATTTGGGTCATAAAAATTGTCAGTGTCTATCCTTCACATAAATTTTTTTACTCGAAGATGCATGTCGTAGTGGACATATCTATGTAGTTTCTCAATAACTAATCTATTCCGAAATTTAGTATGGATCAAAGACTACGTATTCCAATTGCGTTCACAACTAAATGATATGCAAGTTTGACTCAAAACTTTTAATGCAATTTTCTTAAATCAAGGGTTTCATCACATACATATTCCACTAGTTAGCTATTAAAAATAAATGAAAAATTATTAATAATACAATATTTTATAACAAGTATGTTTAAGATATAACTGAATGATACATTTTAATTAATGCATACATGGTAAATATGTAACTATAGCTCTAATAGTAAGTGCACTTCCACATTTTTTAATTTTGTTAACAAATGTATTTATCTATAGATAATATAAAATTATTAGAATTAATATATATGTGTGTATAACAATGTATATATATGTTTCTTGAATGTTCGAAAAATTATTGATAAGTTTCACACATTTTACTCATTCATAGCCTTTACTTGTATAGATAAATCTGGTTTGAGTTTTTTAATAACTTTTTTGACTCATTTTCGAATCTCCGATGAATCGAATTCACAAATACCAGAGTTTTGAAGACCATGATTAAAAAAATAAGTTGCATCAAATGTATATAAAATTAGAAAATAAAATAACAATTTATACAATGTAAAACAAGTAACAAACATAATTACCCGTTGCATGCAAATTTTGATACAATTGATTATACCATCTTTCATCGATTATATCCCAATATTGCTGAAAATTTTGCACTATGGTTTTAACTGTCATTTTTGCCATATCCATTGCCTCATAAATGATAGGTAGTGTAGATTTTATCTTAATTAACTATTTTTAAAACCTTCGCCAAGGGTTCCATGACCCCACAAACTCGCCGTATCCGTTTCTACAATCTTTCATTCAGAATCATGTCATATATATATATATATCCAATTTCATGTCTTCTTCTTGAGCTATTATTGTACTCAATTTATTCTCTGAAGTACACATTCTTTTTAAATCAGTTGCATATCTCAGAGAACTCTCTATTGTAAAAAATTTGGTTGCAAATCTTGTTATGCCTGGTCGCAACAAATGTCGTCCATTCGTATATGTTTTTATGAGATTGACCACTTTATCATTGTTGTATATAAATCCTGTAATTCTACTAGCTTCTTTGATCATATCATTCACTGACAATATATCTCTGATGTCTTCTAACATCAACTCAATGCAATATGCAGTGCATGAAGACAAAATAATGTGTTTCCTTTTCCTCATCAATTTTTTCCCTGCAACCTTCATACTAGATTCACTATTGGTTACAATTTGTACAATATTATCAACCCCTACTGATTCTACAACCTTATCCATTAGGGTGTAGACAAAATCTAAGCAGTCTTTGCCTTATTTGTACAATCAATCGAACTGTGATATATCAAATTTGTATTACAATAAACCATAAAATTTATGATTGGATGTTTGTGCGAGTGCTCCATCCATCAGACATAATTGTACATCTATATATTTTCCATTTATGCTTTAAAGAATCAACATACTGTACAACTTCTTTGCATCTTTCCGTTCAAATATTCACCCTCAATTTGCTTACAGTAGGTCATTTAACTCCAATTCTAGTAGATGCAATCGTGTCAATCATTGCTTGGTAGTAAGGACCATTATTACCAACTACCAACGTAAAATGGTATTGCATTAAAATAAAAAAAAATTGAAATTGTTCTATCCATCTTTTTTGCATTATCTTTTGAAAACATACTTTTCAAAGACTTATTCTTCGATTGAAACATATATGGACCAAGCTTTTTTTTTTATGCAAACCTTCTGTCATTTTCGTAGAGATTTCGAAAAAAACTCTTTTATCTCCTTTTGTATTTGAACTTCTTGCTCTTACAAGATAAGAAATATTATCATATATATTTGTTATCTCAAAACAAATATATACTAATATTAAAATATAGTTTTAGAAAATTCAATAAATATACCAGCTTTAAAATTCAAACTTGATAGATCTCCGGATGCAGTATGGGTACACTGCTGCTCTACAAATTCCATATTTCTGTTTTCAGTCATTGCTCTTTTTAATTATTTTCTTCTAAGAACATTATCTCATTTTCATTTATTTCAAAAACATCATCTTTTTTTCTCATCAAAATCATCTTCCAAACGAATAGAATTGTACAATATTAATTTATCCTATTAATAAATAAATACTTATATAAAAAATTAACTAAATAACTAATTCGATTAAAATTTTAAATTCCTTAGCTTAACATATAGTATTAATTTATTTATAATTATAACCCCCAAAGTTTAAAACACCTATGTTTAAATATATGATTTCAAAAAAAAAAAAAAGTTTAATCTAAAAAATAAATTTACAATTTACATATAGTATAAATTTATTTTTTGTAAAAAAAAGTTAAACTTCATTAATAAATTTACAATTAGTCAGAAGTCATTCTAAAAAAAATTAACTTTAATACAAAATAAATTTGTATATATTAAATAAAAAAATTAAATAGAAGTCAAAATAAATAAAATGTAATTAATATAGCCTAAAATTAACCATAATCCAAAAAGTAAATAAACAAATTAATTTGGGGCAATAACAAAAAATTAATTTGGATAATTGGCCCAATTACCTTTCAATCGGCTTTCTTCTTCCCAAATCTTGTGCAGACCGCGGCTTTACTACCATTTTTCCCTTTCCCGATTCTACACCACGATTATCTTCTTCTCCACCACCTCCTTTTTCCTCCAGAGTAATTTCTTCAGAATTGGGATCGACAGAAGTGTGAGGGAAGAAAATGAGTTTTTCCAGATCTAGATCGGATTTAACTTTATCCTTTTCAATTTTACTCCACATATATATTTGTTTGATTCGAATTTTGAATTTTTGGTGAGAAATCGGGTTTTCGTAAGCGGACCGGATCGGCCGAGTTGGACCGGACTCGGCTCGATCCATTTAATGTGTATATAAAAATTTTGCTTCATCAAGTCTACACGTAGCACCAGTGGTCTAGTGGTAGAATAGTACCCTGCCACGGTACAGACCCGGGTTCGATTCCCGGCTGGTGCAATTTGTTTTTTAATTTTTTTTATTAATATTTTCCCCATTTTCCTCCTCCCTTCACTCTACTGTTTTCCGACATTCTTCTTTCTTCTTCTTCATCGTCGCCACCGATGGCCTTGGCGGCGCCGGGAGGAGGAGGAGCAGTTCTTCCACCGTGTTTTTCTCGTTACCCAAAACGCTTCTTAATCCCCCACAAAACTAGAAAAAAGTTATGTATCTTCTGTTCATCCTCCAATCCCACTTCTCCTTCCTCCAAAATTTTCCTCCCTTTCTTGCACGTTCCCGCAAGGAACCAGGTCGAGAAACACTCCTCCCCACCTGAGGTTGAAGACAATTCCGATCCAATTTTAAAATTCCTCAAGTCCCGCGCTCCAATTCCGGATCCTAGTCAAGAAGGTAAAATTTCACTTCAGAAGAATCGAAGATCTTCATGGCATCTGGCCCCTAATTTCGCAGACGCGGAACCTGAATCGGAAACAGAAACCATAGCCGAGAATCTTCAGACCGATAATAGAGAAATTTCATCCCCCGAAGTAGGGGGAACAGTGGGGGAAGTATTATCCATTGCTAGGGTTTTGCCGGAAAACGTGACAATAGGCGAGGCACTGGAGATGCGCGGAATTGAATTGGGAGAGGATGAGTGTGTGGAGGTTCTGAAATTGTTGGGTGAAGAAGGCAATTGGATAAGCTGTCTGTATTTGTTTGAGTGGATGGGGTTGAGGGAGCCATGTCTGGTATCTCCTAGAGCATGTTCAGTTTTGTTCACAGTTTTGGGGAAGGCAGGGAAAGGGGAAGAGCTACTGTTGGTGTTTAGGAATCTGCCATTTCAGCAGAATAAGCAATTCATGGATGTTCGTGTCTACAATTCTGCTCTTTCAGGTCTATTGTTTTGTGGGAGGTATAGTGATTCGAATCGAACATGGTTATTTTTGTGCTATTTTGGAATGTGATTTCCTTCTTGGTTTGATGTTTGTGAGGAAGATCATTTGGAAGCTAGATTGATTTTAGTTTAAGTTGTTTTTGTCATGTGTTTAAGATGACTTATTCGATTGAGTTCTTATGAAATTTGATGGCATTACTTGTGCAAATGTAGTTGCCTTGTTTGATATATTTATGAGGAAACTTGGAAGGAAGCAAGATCAATTTTAGTTTAAGTTATTTCAATTTGATGATTTTTTCGATTGAGTTCTTATGATATTTGATGGCATTACTTTGTGCAAATGTAGTTGCCTTGTTTGATATATTTACGAGGAAACTTGGAAGGAAGCAAGATCGATTTTAGTTTAAGTTATTTCAATTCGATGGTTTTTTCGATTGAGTTCTTATGATATTTGATAGCATTACTTTTGGATGTTAATGCAAATGCAAAAGGCATATTAGGATATAGTTTTCGTTGCTCGTCTCCTGCTACATTTGCATGCTTTGGTGAGTTTTATTTGGTTATATAATGTTTCTTGATTGGTCTTAGGTGTTTTGCCGATTATTTGTTTGCTGATTTCATAGTTGTCGATGGAGCTATAATTTTACAATATAGTATTATAATTTTTATTTGATAAATGTAGAGTTTATACTTTTATATTATGTAGCTACTTCTAGTTCTGAAAAGGAAAAGAACATTGTTCGATATTACGAACATATAATGGGAAAATGAATGAAAATGAAGAATATTCATAAAAGAGTAGGTTCGGAATGAAAATTATTTATCAGATTTTGAACAAGATTAACTTTGATTATCCATCTATCATAGTAGTTGTGATCTAATTGTTTTGGCTTATATAACTATTTATAAACTATGATTATGTATTTTTTGCAATTTTATTGATTTGAATGAATTCTCTTATACAATTTTATCGTAAATCGGTATATATAATAATGTTTATATCTATATCTTAAATTTTTAAATAGTAGTCATTCTGGCTATAGCATTTTAGAGGTCGACCGCCTTATATCACTATAAGAGATTGACATAGTTGCTTATTTGTTTTCTTGTAAATGATGATCTAAAGATGCTTGTTGTCTTCTTTCTAATAAATAAGGTACGACGATGCTTGGAAAGTTCTTGAGTCGATGGAAATGAATAACATCCAACCGGATCATGTAACAAGTTCGATAATGATTACGATCATGAGGAAGAGGGGAGACGCCGCAAAAGATGTGTGGCATTTCTTCGAAAAGTTCAACAAGAAAAGGATTGCGTGGAGTGTGGAATCTGCCGGTGCTCTTATAAAGTCATTTTGCGACGAGGGTTTAAAGAAAGAAGCTCTTATCATCCAATCCGAGCTCGAGAAGAGAGGGATATCGTCGAATGCTATCATTTACAACACGATTATCGATGCTTACGGTAAATCAGGGCAGATTGAAGAGGCGGAAGGCCTTTTTGCGGAGATGAAAATTAAACGAGTAGCGCCAACAGCCGCGACATACAATATATTAATGGATGCCTACAGTCGAAAAGTGCAGCCGGAAATTGTCGAGAAATTGCTTCAAGAAATGGAGGCTGCAGGATTGGAGCCGAATGTCAGATCGTATACTTGTCTGATTAGCGCATACGGGAGGCAGAAGAAAATGAGCGACATGGCGGCAAACGCATTCTTGAAAATGAAGAAGGTCGGGATAAAGCCGTCGTCGCATTCCTACACGGCTCTTATCCACGCGTACGCCTTAGACGGATGGCACGAGAAATCTTACGCGACGTTCGATAATATGCTACGGGAGGGAATAAAACCGTCGATCGAAACGTATACTGCCTTGTTGGACGCGTTCCGGCGCGCGGGAGACACCGAAACACTTACGAGTATATGGAAGATGATGATGCGGGACAAAATCGAAGGGACTCGAGTTACTTTCAACATATTACTCGACGGGTTCGCGAAACAAGGGCAGTACGTGCGAGCGCGAGACGTGATTTGCGAGTTCGGAAAGCTCGGGATTCATCCGACGGTCGTGACGTACAACATGCTTATAAATGCGTATGCGCGGGGTGGGATGGACTCGAAATTGCCGCAGCTGTTGAAAGAGATGGCTGCGCTCGGCCTGAAACCCGACTCTGTCACTTATTCTACGATGATTTATGCGTTTATTCGTGTTCGTGATTTCAGGAGGGCATTTTTTTATCATAAGCAGATGGTGAAGAGTAACCAAGTTCCCGATGCGAGATCGTATCAGAAGCTCAGAGAGATTTTGGAGGAGAAAGTCAAGACGAAGAATCGGAAGGATAAAAGCGCGATTATGGGAATCATTAGAAGCAGTGCTGGATTGTTGAAGCAGAGGAAGAAAGGTCAGAAAGATGAGTTCTGGAAACATAAGAAACGATTTCGATCTCCCGGCTTCGATCGAGAGTCGAGGTGAGAATTGTTTTATTTCCGTGTTTCTTCAAAAGTTTTGATTTTTATCTCTCGAATTTTCGTATCTTGCTTTTACTGTAATTGTTAGTAGATTGCGTTATGTGAAATAGTGTATTCCCTCCGTCGACTTTATATGTTTATTTTTTGCGCGAAGATTATAGTTGATACTTTTGCTTATTTTTTGCGCGAAGATTATAGTTGATACTTTTGCGTGTAAAGATTTTTTTACCTTTAGGATTTTTAATTTGATGTGATGGTATTGATGTAAATGTGTGTAATGTTGACACTTATTATATCGTGTTTATAGGAAATACTGCCTTTGTCAGACTATAAAGGTTTCATTTACTTTTTTGCGTGTTGATATTTGAATATTAATTATTATATGAAAACGTAGTATTATTAAGAGAAAAGAGCAAAAATATTTTTATTAGTGTCTTATAATACTATTATAATAATATTTGTTCAAAAAAATATACAAATATAAAGATATTTTTACTGTTAAGTATAATGACGACAAAAGTTAAATAAGACCCTTAGAGCCGGACGGAGGGAGTAGTATCTCCATCCGCCTACAAGGATTACATTTATCATTTGTGTTATTATACTTGTACAAATGTCATTATATTAGTATTATAAGACACTAATAGAAACATTTTTGGTATTTTTCCTTAATTTGTACGACATTTTGACATAATAAGTAATATTCAGAAATCAACACGCAAAATATAAATATGATCCTTAGAGCCGGAGGAAATATATATATTTTGTGCAAAGTGTATATCTTTCAGGTTAACGGAAAGAGTATTTGCCGGCTCGGACACTGATTGCCTTATGCAGCACCGGTTGCAGCTACTGGCTCACTGTTTTTCCATCAACAGAATTGGGCGCTTCGCCATCCAATTGATAGGGTTCTTTGTCGTGACCGTGTTCGTGTTCGTGTTCATGTTCTCGACGTATGATAAAGGAGGCTTTGTCATCATGTTCGTGGGGGCACTCGGACACCATCGACAACGACGATGGCGACAGCAAAGCAGCAGAGGGTGCAAAGGATGTTAGGACAGTTCCTGTTTAATGAGACCTATCCTCAAATTAAATGCAACAAAAGCCTTTAGATGTAAGAAGAGTTCTATATCATAGAAGAAAATTCTAAGTATGAGAAAGTAAAGTGAACATAAACAGGGCTACTTATGTGTTAAATCTTACAATCACTATGTTCTCAAGACACATATATATAATGACCTTTTTAAGTAAACACAGGTAAGAAGTAAGGAGTGAAAATGCCTTATCTACAGGGAGAGAACCAACACATTGTTCGTCGACGATGCCGTCGTTGTCGTCTCGTGCACGTTCATAGATTGGATGACGGGCTTTCATCCTCGCCGATATTCTGCTTCCCGTAAACCTGCAAATTCGTCGCTCCTGAAAAGTAGAATGTGCAAAGCACAGTTAAACGACATCGTCGATCAAAAGATAGATTTTTTTTCAGAAATATCGAGTTTTGGCACCATTTTTGCTCGTCGTCTCTTCCGCGCCGATCTCGTCTTGCCATCTGAGCTCGAGGTCCGACGAATCAAGAACTCGAAACGGCGCATCTGTCGACATCGAAGAACAGTTTTGAGGAACGGAGAACGAAATCCGGCTGCTCGTCGTCTGTTTCTTAGTCGAAGAAGATTCCGCGGTCGAGCACAAGTCGTCGTCGTCCATTTTCGAGACCCCTTTGCCATTGTTACATAAGTTGTCTCTCGCCGGCCTGTCGTCTTCCCTCGATTTCGATCTCTTCTTATTCGGAACGACGTTTTCTAAGTTTCTCATCGATGGCACCCTTTGATCGAGCGACGAACTGACCGGGCCGAGACCCTTTTCTTTCACAACCACCTTCGGATTGACATCCGAGTTGTCGAATACTTCTTCATTCGCCGCCCGTTCCGTCGCTTCGTTTCCGCGCATGACCGCAATAGCTTCCGTTAACTTATCCCGCGCCAAATCGACATCGATTATCGGCTTCGGGTAGTTCACACCCAGGTCGACGCCGGCGGATTTAAGCACGGCAGGAGGAGCGTCCCACGGATGATGAATCCACTCGGTAGGCATCCGAGCTAATTCCGGCAGCCATTGCCGCACGTATTCACCCTCCGGATCGAACTTGAATCCCTGAATCTGGATATCGAATCGAAATTAATCATACGATACAACGATCACGCTTTCCGTAACGAAATTCTTCTTACCTGCGGGCTATCCATCCGCTCGAGTTCATGCCCGTCGGGAAGGCTTCCGGATATATATTGCCAGCCAAGAATATCGCTTTCCAAGTCCGCGTCGAGAAGTGTATCCCAAAAGTACTTCATTCCCCATTGCCATGGCAGCAGAAGAAATTTAACGAAGAAGCTCGAAACGATTACCCGAATCCGATTATGGATCCACCCGGTCGCCCAGAGTTCTCGCATTCCGGCGTCGACTAGTGGATAACCGGTTCGACCTTGTCGCCAAGCCTTGAAATTGGTCTGGTTGACGTCCCATGGGAAAAATTTCAGGCTGCTAAGCAACGACTTTTCGTGGGTGAAGGGAAAATTGAAGCAAATGTATCGGGAATATTCTCGAAGTCCCACAGCCTTGAGAAATAGCGCGGCACTCTCTTCTCTGTCAGCGTTCTTCTCATTCTTCCAAACGAGTTGTTTCAGACACACGAACTGGAACACTTTTCGAACGCTGAGCTCCCCGAAATGAAGATACGGCGACAGAAGCGATGTCGAGTTCCCGCCGACCCTGAGGCGATCCTTCGAGTAATTGAACAGATGCTTCTCGACAAATTCGTTGAATGCCTTGTCGGCATTGCTCCAGCCCGGAGACCACCCTCTCCCTAATAGAGCATTGCTCGACTTTTCCGATTCATTTTCGAGACCCAGCGCGTCGATCGGCGTATTTTCGACAGTTCCTGGCAAACAATAGAACTAGTTTCGTTCGTAACATTTTCGTTGGTTCATTTCCAGGGGCACGAAGAGGTTGGGGCGTACCAGTTGTGGGAAGTAGACGCCACGGTGGAAGATGTGATACGGGTTCCTTTGGCATGCTCAAGCATTTGTCCCAGTATGCGTCGAACGTTGTGAAAGCTCGATCATTATCGTCGCGGATTTCCCAGGGCTCAAACAATAGTTCGCCATTATAGCCTTGCACGTCAATTTCAAGCTCGATCAACTTCTGCTTGATATTGTGGTCGCGAACTAGTGAAATTGGATCTGCAGAGGATGCCGGTTAAAATGTCATTCAGCAATTTAAACTCTCGTAATTACGCCACAGATTTCAGATCACTATAGAATAAAGAATCTCAGGCAGAAATTTCACTCAGATATCAAATTTGTCCAAATACTATCGTATCACTACAAACTTATTGCCACGACCTGTTCCAAATTCGACGAATATAACTCTTTCCAACTTTAAAAAAAAAAAACTTCGAAGATGCGAAAATTACATTACAATAGAAGATTAAAGATCAAAATGAAGTAGCAAGCTCAAAGTCATTTTCTTTCATATTCACTGAACTAATCAACAATATCATCGTCAACCTCAAGCCTGAAGATCCTAACACAGTGTTCATGTCAACACCACAATTCCATAAAAAACGAAAGATTTATAGCTCCGAATATTAAATGCAAACCAATGACGCAGCCACTTCCAACTCCAGCAAAGGTATAATCGTAATCACCATATGAGAATTCGAACACATTCGATAAAGATGATAACCATATTAAATCTCCCGAAACAGTAACTGCAAAGTGACTTTCTTCCATTAATTATCCATTATCATCACCAATTCCATAACACCACAACCCCATCGAAAACCAAAGATTTATAGCTGTAAAAACATCAAAAAAATGCCATTTCCACATCAACTCCAACAAAGGCACCATCAAAATCATCCAAACGACAAAATCAAAACACTTACCATAGAGATGGTTATACACAACTCTCGTCGCCCCAACAGCAGTGATGCAATCCAACAGAGCAGAAAGAGTGCTCTGTGTCTTAATCAGCACAAGCTCTGCACCGAGAGATTTCAACGATTGCTGCAGATGGATAAGCGATTGTTTCATCCACCATCTCGACACTCGCCCCGGGTAATACTGACCTTCTTCCTTCGGACACCATATAAACACCGGCAACACACTCCCATCCCTTGCAGCAGCTGCCAAAGCTGGATTGTCTTCTATCCTCAAATCCCTTCGAAACCAAACTACCGTCGTACAACACTTCTTCTCCATTACCCTACCAATTCGAACTCTTCGAATACCACAAAATCTCTAACCCCACAAATTCATCTGTCTTGCCGCAATCACAACAATTTCTACAAGATCAACCACAATTCAACTCTACCAGAAACCTAATTTTCACCTAACAAATCATCCAATCCTTCTTCAATAACACACTAAAACAAACTTATCATCTCAGATCCGAAAAATCGAAGAGAAGAATTTTCACGATTACAGCACAACCAATAATCAAGGAGAAGAAAGTAAGACGGGATCGAAGAATTAGGTACCGACAAAAATCTGAGGGAGCCACTTGTTAAACAGAGATTGGGGGAATTTTCTGAGCTTGAGGATTAGACTTCATGTGAGGCAAGTTGGGGGTTTCCGAAGACGAAGAACTACCCACTCCATAAAGGAAAAAGGGGAAATCATATAAAATCATCATTGAATAATGTTATCCGCAGGACCACAAACATCTCGAAAGGCCTAGAAATAATGCAAAAGGTACAAACAACAACAGTATCTGGAAAACTTATTCCACGGCACTGCACACATGTAGAAAGGAATTCGACAGGCAGCAAATCAATCAGGTAAAAATTCCTGAGAGTTTTGACTGCGGATTCTTAACCGAACTGACAGAGTAATCTCAAAATTAACCACAGGAAAAACAAACCGTTCTCGAAATCATAGACCAGAGGCCAAACTGCGAAGACCACCAAAATCAAAGCGTCCAAACTTTCCAGCATGGTTCGACCATCGGATTAGATGCGCCAATTTTGGAGTAGGATTAGGGTTAGGGTTAGGGTTAAGGTTGGGGATGAATGGAGACAAGATGATGAAAGAATTCATTCATTCAATCAAGCTATCATCAATCAAATCGGTCTCAGTGACTCATATAATTGAATTGCACCAACCTTTGACGGATGGAAATATCCGAAAATATCAGCTAGCTCCACACGCCATGAATTCCCCCACAGGATGCCCAATTCCACTTCCATCTCCCTTTCCCCATCAAATCAATTCAACTCAACTGTTCAGCTCTTCCTTCCCACAACTCCAAATCAGCTGCACTCATTTGTTGACGAGAAATGATGCTCCAATTGTCGTCTCTCTGTCAACTACGTATGTATCGTTTTATCTATTGGATAACTCTCATTTTTTATTATTATTATTATTATTATTATTATTACATTTTATTATTCTATTAACCTAAAAATATAGGCTTTGTTTAAGCAAAACTTTTTAATTTATTTGATACCTTTTATTTTTTTTAAAAATATCACCGATGGAATAAGGCGACTACCAATTAAACCCGAACGGAGGGACCGGAGGGATATACCTAGATCCAATACAATTTTATTTTTACAGAACATCAAATCAAATATAATATTTTATTTTTTTCAAATTTTTAAAATTTCAAAAACTTCGTATAATACCTTTTTTTTGTTAAAATTATTTCATTTAGAAATATTCATTAAGTAAAAATAATTAATATATAAACATCAGGTCAGTACTTTTAACTAATTTTGATGTCATAAAAAAAAAACTATTTAATTTAATATTGAAAAATAGAAAAGTTAGGAACCCAAGTCCAACTAATAATTTAATTATTTAATTTTTTTAAAAATAATAAATAAATAATAATTTGATATTCTCTCTATTGTAAAAATTGTATGCTCATTTAATAGGACATGCGTTTTAAAAAATAGTATGTGAAAATAGAAATATTTTATTTTTAGAGTATAAAATTATATGACAATAAAAAATAAAAATATGAATAAATTTGGATGACAGATAGAATAATATAGTATTATAAAAAATTAAAAAATATAAAAATTGAATAATAAACGATCAAACTAATACGCCATTTTCTCTCATTATTTTTCTTAATTAGACAATCTTATCCCTTTAAATAATTTTTTTTTATTTATTTAATATTTATTTATGATTTTATAATGCATATTTTAAGTGTAATAGTTATTGGAAGTATTTTAAACTCTTTTTTTTTATTATTCTTTTTATTTATATGTCGTGTTTAGGGAAGAATGGGGCATTGAATTTGTTTGTTTTGTGTTTTAGATTGGAAAAAAATAAATAAATAATGTAAAATATATGAAATTGTATAAATAATATAAAAATAATTAGTATATATATATAGTATATTAATGTTTCTGAAAAATATGTTAGAATTTTTTTAGTAAAGAAACAAACCCGTTCTTTGCATGAGGTTCTTGTTATTTGTCCAATGACATTATTTTGCTCAATATTTATAATCATGTGACCATAATATTTATTTCAAATAAATTTGTCCAATGAATTGAATTGTTGGTTGAGTCTTGTACATGTTCGAATAAGACTCTTGTAATAATGGTGTGTGAATTGTGAATTTAGTTATGATAAATTGACACTCTTGACATATTGTTTTTATATTGCTTCTCCGAAATTGTCTAGCAATGGTTGTAATTAAAGTTGTGCTTCATTTTTCCAAAAAAAAAAAAGAAAACTAAAAAAATAATAATAAAATAATTAGAAACTAGTGGGTGTGTTTGTTTGAGGGTTTGGATTTTGAATTGGGATTTGAATAGTAAAAATTTTGAATTTGAATAGTTGTATGATGTGATATAAATAGGTGTTGATGTGATGTTTTGAATGTAAAATTAATTTTTAATATAATATAAAAAATGAAAAATAGGTGTTTGATTTGATGTTTTTTGGGAAAAAATTTGGATGAATAGTATAAATCCAATCCAATGCCCCAAACAAACACACCCTCTAGCCTTTTTTTTTTTTTATCATCCCAAGTTTTTTTTTTAATTATTATTTATTTTTGTAGAATAAAAAGAATTTAATAATTGCACAAGTGTCATTAAAATACTTGATAAAGATTGTATTAAAAATTTTTAATATGGGAAGTTAAAGTTGATTGCTTTTATATATAAAAAAATATATAAATTACAAGGGTAGTTTTTGCCTCGTAATCGATATTTGGACATCTGGTTTAAATATGAGATATATCTCTTAACTGCCGATTTTATTGACGAAGATTGAAATTTGCACCAAAAAAAATAAATAAATAATGATAATAAATTGAACTTTCCGATTCTTGGTTCCTGATTCTTGGTCCCTTAGGTTTTACAATTGGAAAGAAAGTGAAGGATCATTTGTTAGTTTAAAAGATATGTTGAAGAAATAAGGGAGTGGTGACCTTGGATAAAATATTTTTACACACATAACTTAATCTAATTGTTAAGGATAGATTTAATGAACTAAATAGTTTAATAGAACGAATCCGATCTACTATTCTTTATGTGCACTTTTTTTTAAATCGTAAATAAGCATTAAAAAAGTAAATGGATAAACAACGATTAAATACAAATGCTAATGCTTCATTGGATATTGATACAAGATGGAACTTGAAATGTTAATTCTGCATAAAATGTTAATTCTGCTTTAAGAGTAAAATAACGTTTAATTTTTTAGAATGTAATGGTGACAAATATAAAGAAAAAGTAAAAAAAAAAAAAATGACAAGGTGTGATCTACAGAAAATGATAGGTCATATGCACGTGGATTATTACTGTTTTTTAACTTTTTCATTATACAACTGATAAGATCTTTGACTTTAAGTATGCAATTAAATATTTATACATATATATTTTTTCATATTCTATATAATATTCAGTATATTGTGGAAGATCCAAATCCGTTGGTTAGATCAATGATTTCTAAAATATTTGCAAATTTTTTTATATATTGGGATTAGAAAAATGTCAATCCAATAATTTAACTTGACAAATATTCTTGATCATCGCCATATAATATGTTGGATGAATTTTATGATCAATAGTATGTATGGAGAGGGTGAAACAAAAGATTTGTTTTAGTTAGTTCCAAATGTTTTGAGAATAATGTTTTATAAATATATAATTCAACTTCATTATCTAACATTAAAGTAGATTTATCTAGCATGACTTTCTCTAATACTATAATAATTTTTTTCTTAATTTTTTTTTTTAAATTGATGCCTTTAAGAAAAAAATTGAAGAAAGAATTTTGAGAAATTTGAAGTAATTAAAATGCATGATTTGTTAAAATATGAGTTGGATACGTTTTTGAATGATGAAAGATAAAAAGTAACTCAATTGAATTTTGATATTTGGTATTAGTGAAAAACAATATCCAACTCTTTCTTGCATGACAAAAGATGATCATCTCTATTAAAATTATTATTTTTACCATTTTTGCGTTTCACTCAAAATTATCAAAGTTCTATTATAGTAAAAATAATCATACATTAATATTAAAATATTTTTAACTTTTACATAAATTACAAATATATAATTACACATACACATAAAGTAAAGGGGCAAAAATGTTAAAATTATTATAAATACTTCTACTAACCAATAAAATACTATTTATTTTTTAATCTACTATAAAAAATTCAAATGTGTATATTCTTTGAGACAAAATGAGTATTAGTTGTCCTAGTATCTACAGATGTTTTGGTGTTAGCTTTTTTTTTTTTTTTTTTTTAGCACTAGAAAACATGCTACCACTTTTGAAGCTTTCTTACGTCAAAATTGATTGAAAGTGTCATATGTGTACAAGATTAAAATCAAACAGGTAATCCACAAAGTGTGGATGAAAACAAACACAAAATATTTTGAAAAAATAGAATCACATTTCTTTTTAAATTTAAATATTTAGTTAAAATTTAAATCTGAATGTAAAATATAGTACTTGGAAAAAAAAAGTAAATAAATAAAGTTTTATGACAAACTTTTTTGATAGAATTCATTTTGGTCGCAAACTTTGATGGAATATGTGACTATAATTTTAGAAAAATTTACAATGAAATTAACGATGAAATTTCACTCTGTTGCAAGTACTTCAATTAATACTATTCCCCTACATAATAAAAATGAATATACAAATATTATTTTATAATATTAAATACAAATTGTTCCCTATTCTTAACCCCCACACAAAAACACTCAACACACATGAACACTTCGGCACACTCACACTTGCATTATGACGGCGACAATAGCAAGAAAGATAAAATAGATTAAATCAAACAGTATTTGAGGATAATATTAGTTGTGATGAGTTGTGAATACTTTTATTTAGTTGTTACATGCTTATCAATTTGGATATGAAACATTTATTTGATGAGCAGGTGAATATTAGAAGAGAGAGGAAGTGGTTCAACAAAGGAAGAATGCCGCGGAGGCTTCTGGTGGTGTGGTTGATTATAAAGGTGTATCTTCCATTGATGCATATTTATATAAATATAGAAAATTTGAATACATTGATTAAATTCAATCCGCACGATAATGAATTAAATATTTACTATTTTGTGTTCTTTAAATATTTGGTGAACTATGAAATTGGTTTGGGGGTTTGGAGTTTATGTATTTCCTTTGTTTTAACGAAGATTTAAGCATTTCAAATTCAATATTATTCTTCATTGATTGATACAAAAAGTCATCCGTATTGTTATTTGGTGATATCATGGTGTTTGTATTAATTTTACATTGAAATGTTTAGTATAAATTGTACAGTATTTATCTTGACTTAAATGATATGGAGGGCAATATAATGCTATAACTCGTAGAATTTGAGGCATGATTTTGTTTGGATATGCGATATTGTTCATAGCCTTAGAACGAATTTAGACAATTTAAAAAATATTTAAAATGTTTGGATCCTACGACTCTTGTCAACTCATATACATGATTTTATGTCATTGAAAAAATAATAACAATATAATAAGAGTGTAATTAAATTTATTGGTTTGGTTCATTTCAGTTTAGTTTAATTTTTTTTTATCTCTAGATGGAATTGAGGTTTAGTTTGCTAATCGAATATATGTTGTATCTTTTTTATATCTTTTGTTAGTAATCTTGGAAATGCCACACGGTGATTAATCTTTTAGCTTGGGCCTTTTAGGAATTTGTAGTATATATATATGTATATTGTTGTATCATTCTTATCTATTTATTATTATCCAACAACAATCAAGTTTTTTCTAATTCATAACAATTTATAAATTTCTTTTTATGTTCACATGAAACTAAAAAGATCTTTTATAAATGGATGATATATATAAAAAACAAGTGATACCATCATAGTAACCAATCTTTTGATTGTCTTTAGTTTTTTTATTTTAGAAAGAAGGAAAAAAGTATCTTATAACTTAAAGTAGGAGACATAGGCACCGACGATGAGATAAGGGGGAATCACAACAAGATTTGCTTTTAGCTTAATTTCAATAATTCACGATTGATTTATTTTTCGATCTATTTTAATAAATGAGCTTTTAATGAAAAAAGCTAGTTTTAGTTAAACTACAAGAAAAAATCATTTTTGTAACAATTTTTTTTTTTGTCTCTAAATCTACTTTTTTCGTTACAAATGACATTAGAGACGGAATTAGAAATGAAATTACGTTAGCTACGTGAACTTTAGGGACGGAATTACGTTACAAATATAATATTATTTTGTAGTGTTGTGTGAGTGTTCTTGGTGGGACTCCTTCAAAAGTCTTCAACAATGGGTTGACATGAGAAAAAAATTGTAATGGTTCGGTTAAACTTTATTTTAATTTTCAACAAAAATGATATTTGAAGTTCAGATGCTTCTGATTTATTACACAATTGATCATTGCAATGTATTTTCCACCTTCGGTATGGCATGACCTCTTTGGATCCATGATATCGTTTTTTTTTTTTTTAAATTCTTTGCGTGTGTGTGTTTTTTTCCTTTCCATGATAACGTTCATACATATTTACCTATTATTGGAATAAAAAACTTATTTTGTATATTTAATGCTAAAATTTTATTGTAGCATTTTAAAATTTTTCTGACCTTTTTTCTTATGCAATAGTAGCACATAAAATATTAAATATTATTATGTTTTGTTTATTGAAATAATAATTGATTATGTTGTTTGATTTTTATTTTTTTTCTTACGGAACACAATTGATTATTTGATTGTAATGATTCATTTTTTTATTATTAAATATAATTTATTTGAAATTTCTTAAAATTTATTGAATATGATTTGTTTGGATTGGTTAAAATTTGTTCAATGTAATTGGTTTGAAATTGGTTAAATGTAATTTCTTGGTTAAATTGGTTGAACATAATTTGCTTGGAATCAGTTGAAATTGGTTGAGTATGATTTGTTTTGTTTGGAATCGGTTGAAATTTATTAAATATAATTTGTTTGAACTTGACTGAATGTAATTTGTTTGGAATTTGTTGAAATTTTAATTTATTTTGTTTGTAATAAGTTAAAATTGACTTAATATAATTTGATTAGACTTAGTTTGATATAATTTGTTTAGTTTTAAATAGGTTTAAATAAGTTTAAATTAATATGTTTTAAATTGATTTCATGTAATTTGTTTGGAATTGGTTGAAGTTGATTTAATATAATTTATTTTGAATAATTGGTTGAAATAGATTTAATGTACTTTGTTTGGGAGTCGATTTAATGTAGCTTGTTTTGTTCAAAATTAGTTTAATATTAATTGACATAATAATTTAGCGAGATATTTAATTCTTCACTAAATTTGCAAGAGAAAACATCTATTGCTAACGTTAGCAAGAGAATTCACAAGGGATCTTATCATTTTGCAACATCTCAAAAAATAAGAATTGCATTTCTCGCAAAATCCCTCGTTGAAATCATTTGTTATAATATTGCAAGAGGATTTGCGAGGAATTATTTTTTGTTACAAGTTTCATCGCAAATGAAACTTTGTAAAGAATTTTGTCTCTTAGCGAGAAAATTATTCTCTCTAAAATGTCATTTTTTTATATAGTACATGCTTCTAAATATTTGTTGATTTTTTTTTAGCTACAAAATGAAAAGAATATTTTTTGAATTTTAGAAATAACATTAAAGTACTGTTTTCTTTTTAAATTAATTTTACAGATTCCATGCAAAAAAAAAAAGTTGTTTTCTACTAATTTTACTTATTGTTACATTGACTGGTGTTTCTATAATTATTATTGTATCTAATTTATGCATCTTTAATTTCTGAATTTTTATGGACATAAAGTCTTTATAAGAGCATGCTAGGTTATCTTTTTATTTTTTTCTTTACTTGGAGATGTCAGACTTATTTAGGATGTGTTTGCTTGGAGTTTGAATTTTGAGTTGGAATTTGAATAGTAAAAATTTTGAATTTAAATTTGTATGATGTGATATAAATAGGTGTTGATGTTATATTTTAAATATAAAATTAATTTTTAGTATAATATAGAAAAATAAAAAATAAGTATTCAATTTAATATTTTCGGGGAAAAAAATTTGATTAATAGTAGATTTTGGAAAAAATTCCCCAAACAAACACACCCTTAACTTATATAAATTCTATTATAGAAGTGCATTTATATCAATGGGTGGTTTGGACCTATTTGTGAAGTATTGTCTGCGGCTTCCAATATTCTTATATTGATATTTCTTTGTTCTTCTAGTTTTTTAAACATGACTTTGTTGTTTACTATTTTTTAATATAATTCTGTTAACATTGACAATATCATTACATGTAAGTATAGATAATAAAAATAATGATGTTTATAGTGGCTGCTATGATACCATTTGGAATAAACACTTACCAAGAGATTTAGATCATTATTACATTTTGTTTGATGAGTTTATAGTCTATTTGGAGTAACTTATATATATATATATATAAGTTGATCCAAATAAAATTTATCAAGTTATAACTATGAGGTTTTTTTTTTTATTGCTTTTCTCTGAAACAAAATAAAATAAAGTATTGTATTATGTTATTTTTCAAGTGTTAAAAACACGCATGCTGTTTATTTTTGTTTTGTTCAAAAAGACTATATTTTGGCTCAATTTTTGTTTGGTTTATGTTTTATGTCTATTGGTTGCTTAGTACCTTTCAACGATTTTTGACATTTTCATTAATGTTTTTTTTTTTTTTTTTGTGAAATTTTTTATTTGATTTTGAATACTTTCAAGAATAATTTATTTCAATTGTAAAATTATTTTATTTGTCTACATTTGTCTGTATTGGTTCTATTCAAATTATTTACAAATAATAAAAATATTTTTGGTCTAAATTTTTTTTTGTTTGAATACCAATTGCAGTTCCGAATATTTATTGATTCAATTCAAGTATCAAATACACATATATTTAAAAATATTCAAAGCGTGTTCACCTTTAATCACTACATAACAAATCAAGATTCACACAAAAAATAAAAAAAAGTCATAAAACTAAAGAAAATAGATCCAAAGAAATATAGTAACTTATTCTTATTCTCAATCAAATAAAAAAAAAAATTGTCAGTAATAGTAAAAAAAATATACAATTTCATGCTCTCATTAGAGAACATGATACAAATATCAAATTGTCTTCAAATGAAGTATACCAAGATATTGATATTGACAAAAAAGAGAATAAGCAAACCATTCACTCAAACGAAAAATAGTTGTAATATGTTACTTTCCCAAAATCAATTTTCAAAATTTCGAAAAGAACATTTTAAAAAGATTTGATAAAGAAAAACATACATACAAAACTTTTTTTTTTCCTTTTTTTAAAGGATTGATCTCCACCTTAAAAGACTTTTTGATTCAAAGAAAAAAAATTAAGTTATAATATCACTGTCGTGTTTTGAACTCTTATTAGAATTATATGTCATGAAAGAGAGAAACCACTCAATTTTGTACAAAAATTGCACATGATGTTTTTGTATCAAAATTTTACATCAAATATTTAATTTTTTTAATTTATTTTTTAAAATTCTAAAAATCTAAACTTTAAAACGAGTTAAGGGTGTGTTCGTTTTGATGAATTTTATTTTTACTATTTGTAATTTTTTTTTTAAATATCAAATTCCATACATATGTTTTTTTTTTATATTAAATCAAAAATTAATTGTATATTTAAAATATTTCATTATCTAAATCAAATTCAAACTCAAACAAATTATCTAAATCAAACTCAAATTCACATGATGGGGTCGGAAATTATTATCCCTTTTTGCCAATGTCGGCATTCAGTTTACATTCCGACAGCTACAATTTGCCGCCATTGTCGTCGCCAATTCTGTCCGAAACCGACAGCCCAAAAGCAAGCTCACGTCGAAGCTGTAAAGAAAATAAAAATAAAAAATAACAATAATAATAAAGACATTAATTAATAAGGAGGGACGAGTTCGAAACAAGACATCATTAATTTAGTCGAAGGCGCCCCTTCCTTATCCGCTCACGTTATCTTCACAGACACAGTAAAGATACGTATTTCATTTCATATCCTCTTTTTGGTCTTCCCCAAGTTTCCTCCTAAAGGCATAACGACCTCTCCCATTCAAAATACCGTTAACCCTAATCTGGTAACTCTCTTTCGCAGCCCTCAATTGGCGCCATTACTACAACCATGGAGCTCCAAGGTAACAGCAACCTCCTCAATTATACTATCTCGTAACCCTAATCTGTTTTTGTCCTAACTTATTATTCTTAATTTTTGCAGGACACAGAGGCTCTAATAATCCCAAAATGATGCTGTCTTCTGTACTGAGCAAGCGGGAAAAGCTTCAGGACGAACTCCGAAGTGTCGAGAAGCAGGTATTGTGTAATAACAAAAGTTCAATTAATTTTCCCCCAATTTTAAACCGATGAATTGTTTCGGCTGATTTTGTCTGCGGATTGGTGTTTGATTTGATTGAGTCTGAGGATGTCTGAATTCGACATTGGATTTTTGCTGTTGTTCATAGATGATTTTGTTCATTGTGTTGAAATTTGGTATTATTTTTAGGGTTTCGATGGATATAGATTTGGGGGTTCTCTGTTTCTTCTGTTTCTTTCAACAGAGCCTCAGGAAATAAACATATATATATAGTTCAAAATCTTAAATTTTACAAATAGACAATACTCGAAACATCGATAGGAACTACCGAGATCGAAATGAGCTAAAGTAGCAACAAGCAATGAATCGTAATATCGAACTATTTTTGTCTGAATTCTAGAAGTGAAGTTGTTGTACTAATGTTTGAAAATGGCACATTCAATAGAAGTTAGGAATTCAGACAATGTAAGAATCCGAGAACTCCTCCAAACTTCACCGAGCAACCAAAGGAGATGAATTTGTTCAACTCATTCAAATTCATAGCCTTTGGTCTTCGGTTAAGAAACTTTTACGGCGCTTAAGTTTGAACATTTGCCCTAATCGGATATAGTTCTCGAGTCGGTTACTTTCTTTAAAATAATAACCACAATCCTTAAACCTTAACGACTATCGATCTCTTACAGGTGTATGAACTCGAGACAAGCTACTTGCAAGGAACGAGCACTTTCGGAAATGCATTGAAGGGCTTCGACGGATTTCTTTCATCGTCCAAGAATACAGCTAAGTACGAAGCTATACAAACCATATATGTGTATATATATATATATTCATTTCGTGTGTCGCTATAAGGTTATTCGAGTCGATTCTTGTTTTTAGGGTTCGTAATATTTTCATTTTCCCTTGCAATCGATTCAATTTTGTGAAATGGCTGTTAAATCCGATCATTTTTTGTCCTAATTGCACGTTAGATGTAGAAAATGGATGTCGATTAATGTAATTAATATTAGTGTAAGAATCTTGCATACAAACTTGATAATCCATGTAAAAAAAATTCGGTTCCAGTTTAAAGCGATCCCGGAAGTTTCAGCTCGAAGATCGAATCTTCTCGTTGTCGTCAGTCACCTCACCCGCGGTAGGTACAATGTTCGAAAGCGCAATCATTTAATTTTGACGAAATTGCCTATAACTCCCTGATGTTTTCTAGACTGATGTTTTCTAGATTCAACGTAAAATCCCATTTACTTTAAAAATTGCATGACGCTCCCTTATACTTTAAAATACGTTACATAAAACCTCTTTTTATATTTTTTTTGCAACATTTTTTAAAGTATAAAGGAGTGTTATGCAATTTTACGCTGAATTTCGAAACCACATGGGAGTTATGAACAATTTTACCTTTAATTTTTCCGCACAATAAATAATTGGGTTCAGCGTTTCTTACACCGGAATATGTTTGTCTCCAGGCCGAGGAGCTTCGAGCCGGCAAAGAAGGTCAGCCGCAATTTTCCTACACCTATTTTTTTGGATAATATTGTCGTCGTCGCCTTTTTTTTTCCTCTGAGTTGTGCGCTTTTTTTCCGTTTGTCATCGCAGATGGAAAGTCGGATATGGTCCAAGGTCGTCCTAAGGCTGGAGGCGGCCTGACAGCTGTTGCACCGTAAATGCTTTGAGATCTGATTTCAAATTCGAGTTTTATTTTGCGATAATCTTTTTTATGTAATATATGATAATCTTGTTATGTAATATATGATTCGACAGGGGGAAGCCGAAGAAGGGAAGAGGGGGGCAGCGGGAGGTGAAGAAAATGAAGGCGTCGGGCGAGGTGGATCCTGACGAGGAAGATGATCTTGATCTCAGATAGTTCGAAATGTGTTTGTTTTAATTTTAGGTAGTCGAATGGCTGATGTGTTGTGTGTTGTTCGTTCTTTTAGTTTGCTCCAAATTTTTTTCCAAGTCTTTATGATTAAGGGCGTAGGTACGTATTCTTTCTTCTTGTTTTATTGTGGTGTTTTGTTAGTTTATTTGATGTTGTAAGAAGATGTTATTAGTTGATGGAGTTTTTGGTAAGAATTATGTATTATGTACAACAATTGTCTTACATATTTTATTTATTTCTTGATATTATTATTATTATTATTATTATTACTACTACTGTTGTTGTTCTTGATAGGGAATTGTATTATGATTTTGATTTTGATTGATGTTTGCGAGTGGCCGATCATTTTGGAAGTCAAATTGGGGTAACGACTGTTTTATGTTATATTTTCTTGAATGTTTTCAGTTTGCATGAGCTATTCGATCAATTCAGAAACGATATAATTGTGGTTGAATTAAAATTCTAGATAAGGTAAAAAAATTTAATTATGGTAACAATCTAGATATGAAAATAACTTATATGATGAATTTTGTCCATTCAATACGGACAGAATTTTTTCAAACTTATTCTTTATTCAATCATGAGTTCAATGTCCGGATCCAATGTTCGATCCAAAAACTCGCAGCTCAGTTGGACACATTATTAAATAATGTGATATATAATAATATTTTGAATTTCATATATTTCTCACTCACCAAAATTTAATTAATAATTAATATCGAATAATTAAATATTTAATTAATGTTTGATAATGACAATTCCTACCTTCATTTTATACATTTGTGTTGTAGTAAAATATCATATATGTATTGAGATCAATTATGATATATATTATATTAATATATAATTTTAATGAAATAAGGGTATTTGTGGAAAAAAATTGGGTATTTAATGAAATTGTTACTTTGTATATCATGTATTTGGGCTAAGCCCGCATAGATTTTTTTTTTATATTCTCCAAAAGGCCTCGTACTAGTGGAGTTCACTTGGGACTTATATGATGTAGAATTTTCTTCGCAACTTCCGATGTGGGACTTGGGTTTACACCCCAACATATACATATCTATGCTAAGTTATAATAATATACATATGATTTAAGTGAATCAACAACTATCTATATCTGTATAGTATAATATACTCCCTCCGTCCCAATACAATAGTCTTGATTACCATTTTTGTCCGTCTCAAAACAATAGTCTCATTTTCATAAATAATCATATCACTATAAAACTACCTTTACTTTTTCATTATTATTACACAATTGCCACTACTTTTTACACTAATACATTCACAATGACAAAAAAGTCTTTTATCGGTACTTTTTACCCACAACTCAGACTATACTTGCGGAACGAAGGAGTATAACTATATAATTTATACTTCTATATAGCATATCTTTATATTGTGCTATATAAAAACACTTTTAACTGCCGACGGATATAAAATGTTGGATGATGTTAATAAGAATATTGATTCTAATTAATTAATTATTATTATTAGGGTTATGTTTGTTCGAGAATTGATTGTAATTAATTTATTTTGTATTTCCGATTTGTCGGTAGACATATTTTCCTCTCCCTTTTTCTTTTAACTTATAAAATAATAAATTAGAATATAAATTCCAGCAAGCAAGTTGTTCCATTGTCGGGTCTTCTTTGGTATTATTATTTGACTATGTAAGAAATGGACACATTCACATATACAAAAAAATATCTATAAAAAATTAAAAATTTAAATCTTATATAATGTTCAATCATTATCACTTCTATTATGTAATTACTTTGTATGTAATTAAATTCTTGTAAGCTTGTTCTTTTCAATATAAACTCAATATTTATATAAAGCATCAAGTCGAACACTTATTTTTCGTAAAATTATTAATTACACTATTGATATATATATATACCAAAAGAATGCACTCATCATACTTTTTTTTTCTTTTTTTTTTTTAATTATAAAATGTTGTGATAAAGATGTGATCTTTGAGTATTTGAGAGGGGAAGAAAAATAAAATAATCACTCCGTCCACTTACAAGGTTTATATTTACTTTTGGCGCCGTATTTAAAAAGTAATAGTATTTTAATTATAGTGAGTAGTTAAAAGTAGTATAATGGTATTTTTGCCCTTACTTTTTTGTGTAGAAGTAATGATGTGATGTAAAACAAAGGTATTTGTGGAAAAAAGTAGAGTATTTAATGAAATGTTAACTTTATAACTGAACGTTCCAAAATAAAAATATCTAAACATTGTAAGTGGACGGGGGAGTATGATAACTAATACGGGAGTGTATTTTTATTTATGTAACATTTTGTGATTAAAAAACTTTGGTATAATAGGGTTTACTTTTTATTTTAACCAAAAGTTTATTATACAGTTTGTACAATTTTTAATAAAAAATTTACTCTTTTCGTCCCACATTTTCGTTTATTATTATTATTATTTTCGAATGTCCATATTATTTGTCTTTTTTTAATAAATATTATACATTTTAATTATATTTTTAATTTTATAATTTATAATTTTTTTAATTAAAATTATACTGTTTAGTTATTTTAATATATAATTAGTTTTATTATATAATAATCATTTTTATTATAAATTAGACACAAAAAGTGGGACGAATAGAGTATTATATTATCTTCTAAAATATTATATCAAAATATTATTTGCTTAAATAAAATTCAAATTTAAACAAAAACCAAATAAACCTATATATTTGCAAACATACAACCACATCTAATTGTAAGCTACTAACAATGAATTTTCAAAATATTAAAACAAAAACCTAAAATAAAATTATAAAAGCACAAACCCTTTAATCACAAACTTGATTTCCTTTTATTTTCACTATTCATCCCATTTTTTCCCCCAAAAATATCTAATCAAACACTTATTTTTTATTTTTTATATTATACTAAAAATCAATTTTACATTCAAAACATCACATCAACACCTATTTATATCACATCATACAACTATTCAAATTCAAAATTTTTACTATTCAAATCCCAACTCAAAATCCAAACTCCCAAGCAAACACACCCTTAATCGACTTTTCAACAAATTCGAAAATAGTATTAAGAATTGATTGTAATATATATATATATATATATATTATTTAAATTTTGTTAGCTTCTTTAATTTTAAAAGTATAATTAAGTTTCAATTAAAGTTCTTGTTAGTATAATTAAAAGTAATGAAATTTCTATATTTCAATTTGTTTGACAAATTAAATAGATAATTTTATTTAATGGAGAAATAATTAAGAGGATGAAAATTGAAAAGCAGCCCAAAATGTTGAATTAAATGAATGATAGGGTCCCAACATCCACTACTTTTAGATTGTTTTGGATATTGAGTTATATTATAAAAAAATATATATAATATTATTACTTAAATATATAATTACTATTTTTTATATAGAAATAATACAATTTTATAAATTATTACTATAATATTTCATTCTTCTAAGATAAATTATGTCGGTTATTATTTTTTTTATCTCTAAATTTATACATAATTTACTTGTAGTGAAAATATGTCTTGTTATCATTTTCTATCCCTAAATTTATACATAATTATAAGTAAAAATATTTATGTACTCAAAAATTTATTATTCATATTTTAACAAATAATTATCAAATATATTTTCTATTACTTATTCTTAAATTTTTAATAAAATTTTCTTTGTTTACGGACCCATTTTTATATGAAAAATATTATAACCATTTAATTTTTGTGCGCAATAAAAATGGCATAAATATTCCAAATACGATATATACTTCCTCCGTCGAAGTCATATATCAATTTATTTTTTACACATAAATTTTAATATATTAGCATTTTATATGTAATGTACAATAAATACATTTGAATTGTACATATGAAAATAACAAAATAATTAAGTCAAACTCTGAGAATATATAATACCATAATAATATCGTTTAACTGTAAATTTTACATTTTCTGTTACTTTTTTCGTCTTCTAATAATAGTCACATTTTTTTTTAATATAAGAAAGGCACAAAAATTAATAATAATAATAATAATAATAATAATAATAATAATAATAAATATATTACTCCCTCCGTCCCCGTGTCTGCTACACTGTAGATATTGTATTTTAGGAGGGGTGCAATTAGTAGATAATTAAAAATGTATTAGTAAAAATAATTATCTTATAATATAAATAATTATAAATTAAAATTAAAATAACTAATTAATTTAATTAAAATTAAAAATATATATAATTTAAAATGAGATTAAAGTGTGTAATCATTTTCCAAAAAAGGAAAGTAACATTGTACGTGAGACGGACAAAAATGGCAACATGAATATGGTATCTGGGACGGAGAGAGTACTATATTTTATTCAGTAAATGGGAGTTCTATAATATTAATAAAATATCGCATTATTTGGGCATGGCTCAATTTCAATACGTGCCGGGCTCGCCGGTTCGACTTAATTTTTCTTTTATATTACTCACTCCGTCTCAAAAATATAATTTTATTGTGTTAGGCACGAAATTTAAAAAATATTGATATTATATTGGTAGTTGGTAAAAAGTAAGAATAAACGACCTTTTGCCCTTGTGAGTATATTAGTGTAAAAAGTAGTGGCAATTGTGTAATAATAATGAAAAAGTAGTGATAATTTTATGGTGATATGGTTATTTATGGAAATAAAACTATTGTTTTGGGATAAAAAAAAATGGTAAACAAGACTATTGTATTGAAACGGATGAAATATTATTTTAAATACGCATTAATACATAATACAATTCTGATAAAAAATAATAATAATAATAATAATCCTTCCGTTTCCTATTAAATGTCCCTTTAAAAAAAAAATCTGTTTCACATAATTTATTTTTTATTTTTAGAATATAATTATACATTTTAATTATAATTTAAATTTTATAATTTATAAATTTATTAATTTTAATTAAATTATTTAGTCATTTTAATATTAATTTATAATTATTTTTTATGCAATAATTATCTTTACTAATCACTTATAAATTATTTACAAATTATAATCATATCTAAATATCAAAATACTACTATTATTTTTTAATTTATTACTAAAGAAAAATCAGTACATTGGATCGGAACTGAGGGAGTATACGGATGGGCTGTATGTTATACCACTATAAGAAAATATCAATTTTGTAAAGAGATTTTTTCGTTACTAAATCAACTTTTTCTGTTACTAATGATATTAGAGATGAAATTAGGAATTAAATTATGTTAACTAAGTGAATTTTATGACGAA